CTGATTGGAATTCCCTACTAGACTATAAGCTCCACGAAGGAAGGAGACTATGCCTATTCCTTTATTAAGCATATATGAGCTTACTTTTTGGTGGCCTGTTAAAAAACCTATATGCCAGCTATTGTTGATTGGAGGATAAATGAAACGATGGGTACGATGGGTCTACCAAGTGTCCATCGCATAGTAGCATGAAACGCATGTGAATACCACTCGGTGAGATCTAGTTTATCAAAATTCACACCACTTAAGCCAACAAAATGCCAGACCGACCAAAATAATGGTTCGGGTCTAGTTGGATAAAATATCATGTAATATCAGGCCCTGCTCTTATTTAGAAATTCTATTATAGACTGCTTCGTCCTAATAGAAGAATGAAGACCTGCAATATTATCATGAATTTAAGTTTTCATGTAGGGTCAATGTTGATCATCAGTGAAGCAGCTGACAAGAATTTATTGAGAATTAATGATCTGCAAGCCCCCGTGGTCAGTCTTAGGTGAGTGATGGGGCAGTGTGAGCCAAGGGTTCTGCCTAACGCAAGGTGATTAAATCCTTGATGGAGAGATAATATGTGTTCAGTTGACCAGACAATTAGGTATACATTGAAGTCAGTAACTGTTATGGGTTGAATTGTGCCCCACCTCCCAATTCACATGTTCAAGTCCTAACCTCCAGTACTTCAGAATGTGACCTCACTTAGGAATAGGGTCACTGCAGATATACTTAGTTATGATGAGGTCATCCCGGAGTACAGTGGGCCCTTGCTCCAATATGACTAGTGTACTTATAAAAAGGGGAAATGTGAACACAAAGATAAGCACGCGGGGAGAATGCCATGTGAAGAGAGAGAGAGAAGACAGGCCATCTATAACCCAAGGAGAGGCGCCTGGAACACATCCTTCCCTCACAGCCCTCAGGAGGAAGCAACTCTGCTCACACTTTGGTTTCAGGCTTCTAGCCTCCAGGACTGTGAGATAATAAATGTCTGTCATTTAGTTTGTGGTCCCTTGTTACGGCAGCCCTAGCAAATTAATACAGTGATAAACACTAAATTCTTCTCAGGGATCAGGGTTTCTTGACCTGGGCACTATGGACACTTGGGGCCAGATAAGTCCACGTGGTGGGAGTCCATCCTGCACATCATAGGATGTACAAGCATCCCCGGCCTCTATCCACACCGCGGATACGCCATGCAACACACACACACACACACACACCCCTTTTCACTGGAACCTGCACTACACCTGCTACTGTTTTCAAAGAAGAAACAAGTTCTAGAAATTCTAAGGAAAGAAGAAAAAAAAGTCTACCTAAGTACTCACTGACAACTTTCCCAATTGCAAATAAAGCACAGGACTTTCAAAATTATGGAAACTTACAATCTATAAATGAAACCCAAGAGTGAAATCCCTCGTCTTTACCTCTAGATGAGAAAGACTACGCAGGAAGGCAGAGCTTTAATTGGAGCCTTTATCAAATGATGACAGAAGTCCAATGGGATGACCCATTGAAATGGGCATCGTACAAATAAACTCCTAGAGCCAGCCTTTAGAGTCACAAATGCAAAACAATGGTTTGGACCTTCAGCATCAGCTAACTTGAAGTGGGACTGTGCCGAAGTTGAAGGTCAAGGAAAGGTCAACTCTTCTCAGTTTGTATATTTTTATAGGTTTAACCTGAGAAAAGAAACAAGAGACCCAACATTGCATGTTGGAACAGAAAAAAATGGAATTATTGCACTGTAACTCCTTGAAAACTCTGCAATACATTATATTAAATTCTCTTACATGTTATGTGGTTCCCAAATCAAACTTTTAATCCAGGCTTGAGGACTGAGAGGCTTCTTAAAATTCAATTAAAATGATACAAGCAGGTCCACATTATGACATGCTCCATTTAGAGACATGCATTTGGCAGGAAGGCTTTTCTCTTTTTATCTTAAAATCGAGTTCAGGAAATGTTGGTTTAATTTTCTCTTTGCTTCAATATTTTATGAGTGCTTCCCAATGCATAGTCTCTGAAAGCACTAGATTACTGACACAGTGCTATTTCAGATGACAGGGAAGATTTTATTTGCATGAATTCTACATGTTGGAATTTTTATGCTTTTTTTTTCTTTTGTGCCTGGAAAGAGAGTTGTAATGCACAAAAGCATATTCCAATTCTTTACACAAGCACATGTATATACACTGAGACCTAATTATGAGTAAAAGTGGCCCCCAAAGTTTAAGATCAGTGCGAGAAATAACTGTTCTTCATAATCATTGCAGAATTCCCATCTTCAAATAATGGACTATTTTTAAGGAATATTTTTTAAAAGATTGTATTTTTATTTATTTGTCAGAGAGAGAGACAGAGAGCACAAGCAGGGGAAGCGGCAGGCAGAGGGAGAAGCAGGCTCCCCGCTGAGCAGGGAACCGTATGTGGGACTCGATCCTAGGACCCCGGGATCATGACCTGAGCCGAAGGCAGACGCTTAACTGACTGAGCCACCCAGGCGCCCCAAATAATGGACTTTTACTAACACAAGAACAAACACATTTTCCAAAAGGAGACACTTGTGTCCTTACATATCCAAATAAGTACAGCGCATCTATCCTCTTCTCAAGGAAAGCACCCTCAAATTTCTCCACACTTTATATTTCCACATCGTCACAGATCTATTTCTGTACGAGATGCTAAAGCCTCAGAAAAAGACACTTACAGAGCACATTCACTTGTTCAGACCAAAGTAATAATTAACAGAAAATGCCCTTCCTTGGTTTTGGTCCTTTCAGTATGCTATGAACTTTCCTCAAAAATTAATGTCCATGTTGTACTTGGGTTTTAAACCCAAAAAAGCACATATGTTCATAAATATATGATACCTGAAATATCACAGACACCCCAAATGTCAATATATTCTTATCACCTTTTTATTCTAATGCAAGTGGTGTGTTTTAGGACAAACATGCCATGCTAGCAGGTTACCTGTTTAAATGCTCATAAGCATATTTTGTTGAGTGGCTGTAGATGCGCTTTGGTGCACTGGGTGCTGTTTATATGCTTCTATTTCTGTAATTAGAAGATAAAATATACTGCACCGTTAATTGTCAGGCCCTTCGGTGACAGTATCGACGACTGCTAACCCACGGGCTTGATGAGACAAGTGTGCAGGTCTATAATTGAAGAGCTTCATTTTCATCACAAAAAGAGCTTAGAGCATGATAGTTATCTCCTCATAAATTTGGAGATGTTCTGTAAATAATTAATAACTCCTCTCTGATAGTACACAAATAATGAGCAGAACTTGACTACCAAGTTTAAATATCAAGTCTGGAGGCTGCTGAATACTGAACATCTATCATTGTGGTGTTTCAACAATTGACTGTTAAAAGCCAGTGTTAATCCAGTCAAAGGGACATTTTTTTTTTGATAAAGACTCCCGTCCGCCATGTTCACATTTTGGAAAGCAAAAACACCCATGTCCAGTCATCTTAAACGTTCTGTCCCCAGCTGAAAAGGGGAGGAAATGATCACCTCGGCTTCTGAAATCGACTGCCATGTCAATTTCCGAAGAATATCGGAGGCACAATGCACACACGCGCTGCCTTTGCTATCATCATCTCTAGAGGTGTGTTTTTGGCTAGTGCCATGCACTATACTAGAAAACAAGTCGGCGTCTGTCTCCCCTTGTCCCCAGCACCTAAGTCCTCAGGCTTAACTTCTTCTCCGCGTTTACGGACGGATCTGCACCAGCAGTCCTTGGACACTTAAAAGTGAGGCATGCTGCCCAGGTTCTCCAAGTGACATTCAGAAGCAGGATTGACTTCAGCTCACCAGTTACCCTCAGCATCTCAAGAAACAGCCTGACCAAATCACAGGTGTGGTCCATTAATCCCAGCGTCACAAAATAAACTATGAGGTCCCGGTAAACACAACCACCCATTAGCGCGCTAAGGAAAAGTGACAGGAACCATTTGTGAGAGGTGACGATGTGCCCTGAGTGATAACACTCTCGATCATGTGATTCATTTTTTGTTTGCTCAACAACACGGTGTGTGTTTTTCCTGAGAGGAAGGACTTCAATATATATTTACTCAAAGCTCTTAATTTATACTTCCTTTCCTTTTAATTGGCGTCTTGTGATCTAAAATTAACCGGTGAGCATAGTCTCTCACTATTAGAGCAAACTCTCGGCTGAGTTTGCCATAATTAGACCCACCATCGCCTGAAGTTCGACAGACATCTGGAGACCTGACTTATTTCTTCCCTGGTGCATTCTATCCATATTTAGAGAGTGATTTTTAATTTGACGTATAGTCATATTAATTATCATCCCCCGAGCTGGAGCTAGGTTAATAATTTCACGTTAAAAGTGAAGTTCAAACAGCCTCGCCTGTAACCTTACCGAAGAAAAAGCCTACACGAAGAGGAATTTCTTGGCGAAACCCGAGATCGTCAGAGCACTCTAGCTCCCCAATAAGCCGGATATCATTCACACAAGAAATACAAGGTCACATGTCCTCTAAAATCCCACATTTGCTATAGGCATTCCTCCCTCTATCCTTTTGTTTGTGCAAGTAACTGGATACAGGTACAATTTGGGTGAAATTAGCTTTCGTTAATGAGTGAAGAAAATAAATGCCCCCAAAATGCCCAAAGCCAGATTTTTATCTGCCATTCCTTCTTTCCTTCTCCCCCCCCGCCCCCCTCTCTCTCTCCCTCCCTCCCTCTCTCTGTCTCTTCCTCTCTCTCTCCCCTGCAAGGACTGAAAATGATCCAGATCTTTCAAATTCGCCCTCACCTTGACAACGCGAAAATTACAAGCAGCAGTCAACTTTTACAAGATACCCTGATTGTGCAACATTTACAGGCTGCCAAAAAACATGCTAAAACTAATCAGATAACAAAGGTGAAGAGAAAAGCTTCACCTGCCATGCAGCTAGCAGTGAATACACTTTTTATTTCCATGACATTTGCCGGCAGAAAGGGGTTGGCTTAAGGCGGATCGGACTAACCTTCAATTTGTCATAGCGCTCACTCAAAGCTGCCACCTGATGATCTCGGTGCCGCCCAACCAGTTTACACAAGGCACAGATTAACTGGTCATCGGTCACACAGTACATATTCACCTTCTCATCCTCGTGCTCCAGGCACATCAGCCCCCGGATGTGCGAGTCCGGAATTGGCTCAATCAGACGATGGCCTGTAAAGGGCTTCTTGTTTGGGTGAGTGGCTTTCAGGCACTCATCACAGTAGGACACTTCACAAGTGACACAGGTCTTCACAGCATCCTGGGCAGGATCCTGGTCACAGAACTGGCAGAGAACTTTCTCAGCGGAGGTCATGGTGTTGGCGTCGAATGCCCGCTCCCGGCGGGTCTCGCTAGGGGAATTGGGCCCGCTCACGGATGCCTTCTGGAACCTGTCGATGATGTTCTGCAGGGTGACGTTGCGCTTGAGTCCGTCTAGACCTCGCTGGCTGAGCGTGATGACATGTCGGCAGGTGGGGCACTGGAAGGCGGTGATGGACTCCACGGACTCGTTGGTGGCGCAGTGTGACACCAGGATGCGGTGGGCGCAGTTGAAGCAGAGGCTGTGTGCACAGGGTAGCAGGAGAGGGTCCTCAAAGAGCTCTAGACAAATAGGGCAGGTCAGCTCCGACTCCAGCGTTTCCATCTTCAGGCAAAGCTCTCCTGGGTCATCAGCAAAATCCAAGGAAGCTGATCAGCTATCTGGAAACAGAACGTAAGATCTGATTAGGCGCGAGGGGGTCAGCCATAGGGAGCTGTCAGCTTTGAATGCATCTCAGAATAATTCCAAACGCAGGTCATGGAAGGGTAAATGCGTGTGCATTCCAAATAATTCTCTTTCTATTCACTGGGGGAATAAGGAGGGGAGAAACACCCGAAGCCAGCATACCAACTAACATTTTCTCAAAGTTCCCAGTCACCAAAAGCAGAAAAAAAAATCCCCCCCCCCCCGCAATTTTGTTTGTTAAAAGGTCTTACTCCAGACTGGCAAGTTATTGAAACTGTAATCTCCATAATTTGTATCTAATGACAATAATCTTACTGTGTCACGGCCAAGTTTTACCTTGTGTGGAAAATTAAAATGTAGAAATGTTAATTAACGAACTAGAGTCTTTCCTAACTTTGAATTGATGAACTTACACGTGAATGTTTATGCGTCTACAGGACTTTTTACGACACCACTGCAGGCTTCAGAGAAGTAGAAAGGCGCTTCTTGTGGAAATGGGCATGAAATGTGCATGAGATCAAACGCATGACTTCAGCGGAAATGATAATGCTTAAATACGGGATGTCAGCTACCAAAATATATTCCTGCGGAAAAACACTGACTTTCACAGAGATGATTGTGATCGAGGCCATGTTTTTTGGCATGTGTTCGTTACTCTCTTGAATAATTCTATTGTTTAATTCAGCAGTGGGATGTGGGTGGGCAGAGGGAAGCAGAGAAAAATATCTGCGGGCCTTTTCAGCGGCTGTGGCGAGCTTGGGTACCGACTAGTAACGATTTAGTTAATTAGGACAAGGATTTTCGTGGCTTCAGTATCCATTGGTAAGTTATTAGCAGGGCTAACGACTGCAGCGCAGGCAGGCAGCAGTACTCTGAGGAGGCTTGCAAGGGCAGCTGAGGGATCCTGCGAAGCCCGCCTGGCCGAAAGAGTCCCATCAAGGGCTTGTCCCTGTGGCCACCGACAGGCCGGGCCGGCAGGAGATCCAGCCTCACACCCAGAGCCCTGTCGGCCCTGGGCTCGGTCTCCGTGAGCTTTGTCGCTCCCCGCCAGGCTGCCTTTGGGTGGCCCAGCTGCACGCTCCCCGCACCCCGAAGACGGGCTGTTGCTTTTGTGAACTCCTGCCTGCCTTCCCTTCAGAAAAGGCAGGGGAAAAGAATCCCACACAGACCCCGGTTCATTACCAGGGAAGAGGCCTCATGCTCATTAGCAGGCCTGGGAACCAAGCCTCTTTGAACCATCTCCCTTTCAAGACCGTTAGCAGAGGTCTGCAGAACAGCGCCAGGCATATTAGATGCAGTCCAGTGCGGCCTGTGGGAGAACAGTGCAGCTCACCCAGGGGACGCCAGGTTCCAATCACCCTCGGGGGGCCGGGGGGAGGGGGGAGTTGGGGGGTTCTTGGCCCGCTTCACATCCACTTCTACCGTTTAGCGATTCGGACAATCGGCCTTTTTGTATTCGCACCTCCCTTTATTTACAAAACTCGCGATTTCTAGAATGCACTGCCCCTTTCTGAAATAGCATCCCTCAGAAATACCATGTGGGGCTTTGGTTAAGCTAATGCTCATATTGCCATCAACTAAACAGGAATTGATCATTAAAAGCGTCAAGTGCGTGCTGAGTTTGTTAAAAATTAAAGAGCTGCTGGCTTCATAGAAGCCTGGTATCTTAAAAAGATCTTCAGCCATTCGCGAATATTAAGTACACGAGGAAGAATGAGCGGGCAGCTGAGATTTGAAATATGAAAGCTTACTCATGTCTGCACAACCTGCCGTCCCCGCTCGGTCCTAGCCACCCCTTCTGACAGATGGCTTGGACGAAATTGAAAAGGTTTACCTATTAATCATTATTTTGGTTAATCGTGGAAAAACAGAATTATCTCTAAATCGGGTTTCTTCTCTCTTCCCATCTGAAGAAAGTAAATTAAAGGGAAACCGTCGCCCTTTTGGTCCACTTTGTTCTCAGGTGCAACAAGAACGCCTACCGATAGATCTCCACACAGGGATGAGCCCCAATTATGTCTGGAGAGCTGCGAGGAAGGACTGTATTTTTCTGCAGGTGCCAGGATTCCAACCCAGCGCGGCGCAATCACAATTTCTAGAGGTGATTCTGCTGCCGACCCCGGTGGAAATGCTGACATCTGAGCTGAGACGTTAAGCGAGCTGGCTCGCGAAGCCGGAATCTGGCACCCTCACCACCCCGGCTCTGTGGTCGTGGGCCAGCCAACATCACGCCTTACCTGGATTATCACAATACCTTTCCGAATGGCTTCCTGCCTTCTGCTCACTCTGGCCCCCACCCGCAATCTTTTACTCCCGAAGCCAGAGATCCTGTTAAAACATGACCGAGCCTGCCTCTTCTCTGCTCTCCCCCCCAGGGGCTTCCCATCTCCCTCAGGGAGCAACTCAGCAAAATCAAACCGGCCCCAGAAAACAGACTCAGACAGTGACTTCACTTCCTCCCACGCGAGCCCTCGTTCGGCTCTGGGCACACGGCCTCCTCGTGATGCGCCCAACGTGCCAAGCACGTCCCATCTCCCCTCCCCAAGGTCTTTGGAATCCACGTGACTCTCTGCTGCAGTGCCACCTCTTTGTGAACCCACGGAAAACCAATTCCCCTGCTACCCCCACGACCACCTACCCACCCATCACGGCGATCCTCTCCCCAGCTCACCCTCCCCCCCCCCCCCCCCCCGCCTCACTTGGTCCTTCCCCATAACTTTTGTCACCCAACATATTCTACTAGTTTGGTCACTGAGCCATCATCACTCCCCGCTGCCCCACAGGTAGAAGGTGAGCTCCATGCGAGCAGAGACTTGGCTTGGCTCTTTGAGGGGTGTCCTGCCAGCCCCTGGAACAGCGCCTTGCACACAGTGGGACTCAAACGTGGGCTGAATGAGTTGGGAAACATACAGCTGTTGGGGTTAAAACCCTCAAGGAATACAACACCGCTGTCTCAAAGGATCTCTCAACATATTGGAACAGAGGTCAGCAAACTTTTTCTATAGGGGGCCAGAGAGTAACTATTTTTGGCACTGCGGGCCAGACGGTCTCTGACACAGCTCTCAGATGCAGTGAGTGCGGCTGGCCAATAAAATCGGATTTACAAGGGCCCCTGGGTGGCTCAGTCGTTAAGCGTCTGCCTTCGGCTCAGGTCATGAGCCCAGCGTCCTGGGATCGAGCCCCGCATCGGGCTCCCTGCTCTGCGGGAAGCCTGCTTCTCCCTCTCCCGCTCCCCCTGCTTGTGTTCCCTCTCTCGTTGTGTCTCTCTCTGTCAAATAAAGAAATAAAATTTTTTTTAAAAATCGGATTTACAAGAACAGGTAGCAAGCTCCATTTAGCCCGAGAATCTTATTTTGCTGACCCACGGAGTAGAAGATAGAGACACGTACAACCAGACAACAGAGAAGTGAGAATCCCTCCCAAAGAGACAGGACTAAAATGCTGTGCGGGCAACAAAGGAACGGCGGTGGAGTGAGACGTGGACAAGCGGGTACAAGTTTCGAACGCTAACGGGAAATGATAGGCAATGGGATTTCACCCTGACATCAATGGAAATAATGTTGAGTCGAGTGCTTAGGGGCACTTCATGTTAAGAATGATTTAATAGCAGCTGCTCAGAACGGGATCTTTTGCTTTTATTGCCATAGCGCTTGGCACGGTGTTTTGTGCAAGCATCTACGCTGCAGATGTTGGTTTAATGGTATTAAGTGATGACTAAATATCTGGATGCGCAGTGAGGTTCAGCCAATTTTCGGAATCTTGTGCCCATATGTTGCCAAAAGGGAAGGGGCTCTGGGTTCGATATCTATAGTGGATCTGATTTTTTTTCTCCTTTGATGCAGATCTTGCTGTGGTGTAGGTAATATTCTGGTGACATTACTCGACAATATGTTACTGGTAAGCATGCACGCTATTCCCCCACCCGAGAAAATTAGCATGATTTATTTTTTAGCTTTTTGAGAAATGAAAATACCATTCATTCTTTCACCAAATATTGAAGCCTCTCAGTGATCTTACGGGGAGAGAAAACAGCATAGAAAAAGACACGTGCCAAAGACCGGGGGAGAAGAAGACGGGAAACTTCCCGAAGGAGGCAATATGTGAGAAGGATTTTTGAAGATGAACGGGGGTTCACCAAACAGGTGTGGGGGGGGGGGGGGATTTGCGAAAAATGTTATCTTTTCCTTTTCTTAACTCCCATAATTTAATGTCTAGTCCTCAAAAAGAGAGAGAGAGATTCTTAGCCTTCGTTACAATAGAAGGAAATCACACATGCGTATCATTGTCAGGAAATTCTATAGCTCAACATTTTTCTGAATGGGCTGATTGGTCCTCATTCAGAGGAGGATGTGGGTAATCATGGGAACCCCTTGCAACAAACTGGGAATGGCGACAATTTACAGCTCACACCTCTGCTTGTCCACGGTTTGTAGTCTAAAACAGGGCATGGAATAGAGGGAAAGGAGAGAGCCGGATGGGTGGCCAGACGGTCGAGGATGACACGCAGTTCGGCTATTTTATTAGCTGTGTGGCCCTGGGACAGCGTCCACAGATGTTCCCTCCAGTTTCTTCCAGCACTCACTCCGAACAATTCCTAAGCAGGACCGTCCTTAGCCATGGGCTGCACTTGAGCCTCGCTTCCTGGGACGCACTGGATGCAAGACACCTTTTCCAGAAACTTTCTTACAAATTCAAGACTTCTGAGGAAAACCGATAATGTCAAGGTTTTCACACCCCTGTCTTCCTCCTGTCCCACCCTCTCTCATTCTGTGTGTCACTGAAACTGTGCTCTTCTGGCTTTCCTCTCTCTAAGCACTGCTGACTTCTCCTTCCAGCGAAGCAGAGCCTGGGTGTTTTCTAAGGGTCTGGCCCTCCGTCCAAAGGTCATCAAAGAGGGTCAAAAGGTACAGACTTCCAGTTGTAAAAGAAAGAAGCCCTGGGGGTGTAAGGTACAGCACGGTGGCTGTAGGTAATA